TGCAATCTGCCGCGCGCGCGAAGGCAGCCACTCCCAGAGGCAGCTATTGCTTTTCCCGGTTTGCAAAGAGGAAGCAGCGGCCAGAGGTAGTGAGAAACCCAGCCAAGGCCAGCTGGCATAACAAGAGTTTCCTCCACCTTAGGTGCTTCCATTTCTGAATGTGAATGGACCTAAGAGCTCCTTTCTCTCGTTCCTTTCTCTCTCTCAATTGCAGGCTAGGCGAATGAAAATGCGGTCTTTAACCCATACATCTGTGGTCAACTGATGACAAGTGTGCCAAGCCTTTTCAATGGGGAAGCAGGAGTCGCTTTAATAAATTGTGCTTGGAAAATTGGATTTCCACAAGCAGAAGAAAGAATCAGAATCCATGCCTTGTAACACAAAAACCCATTCAACATGGATCAAGAACCTTAGCATGAAAACGAAAACCATATTTGTTGTAGTGACCCTGTATAGGGTTTCCAAGGAGTGGTTGGTGAGTTTGATCTGCCGACCTTCCGGTCCAGTGCATTATCCTGCATCACAACATTGTTGTTGTTGCTGTTAAGTGTTGTCAAGTTAGTTCAGACCCAGAGTGACCCTATATAGTATTTCCAAGGAGTGGGTGGTGAGTTTGAACTGTGGACCTTACAGTTTAGTGTTTATCCTACAGTGCGGCACTGCAGGATAATGTGCTGTACTGCAAAGTTAGTTTGAGCCGCAAACGCAGTAGTTCAAGTCCATGAAATGCTATACAGGGTCAGAACCGACTCAAGGGCACTCAACAATTCTTAGGGAGTCCTGGTGTGATGCTGTAGGGTCAGCAATGGACTGCAAGGTCAGTTTGACTGTTTAAACCCACCATCCAACTCCTCATCGGAGGAGGTCACTATGAGTCGAAACCGACTGGATATCAGTTAGCAACAATATTTTTAGAAGAAAATATAGGGATGTGGCTATGGGGTCTAGTTTTAAAAGATGAATTATCAGATATTATAACAAAAGCAGGAGCAGCAAAAGATGAAATAAAAATGGGATCTCATAAAAATAAAAGTTTTGTTTATCAAAAAAGTAAACAGACAACCTACAGATTGTGAAACTATCTTTGGGAACCATATAAAGAGTAAAGGGTGTAATATCCAAAAAAATAGAAAACTCTACTATATAAGTACTTAAAGGACCTCTGGTAGCATAGTAGTTACGAATTGGGCTGCGAACCTTAAGGACAGCAATTTGGAACTACCAGCTGTTCCGCGGGAGAAAGATGAAGCTTTTTGCTCCCATTAATATTTACAGCCTCGGAAACCCTCTACAGGGTCGCTATGAGTTGGAAACGACTCCACGGCACACCGCCACCACCACAAGTACTTAAAGGAGCTCTGTTAGCATGGTGGTGGTGGCTGTGTGCCGTGGAGTCGGTTCCGACTCATAGCGACCTGGTACAGGGTTTCCGAGGCTATAAATCTTTACTATTCTGTGGGAGAAAGATGAGGTGTTCTGTTCCCGTAAAGGTTTACAACCTCAGAAATCCTGTACAGGGTCGCTATGAGTCGGAACCAACTCCACCGCACCACACCACCGTAAGTACTTAATCACACAAAGGCAACCCAATAAAAAATTTAAGAAAAGGGCACAAACAGGTTTTTCACCAAAGGATATTCAAAGGGCCAACAAGTACATGAAAACATGCTCAATAAATACCATTAGCTATTAGAGATGACAGTGAAAATTACAACAAGCAAAACTACATCAGTTCATTACCACCGTGGTGGTTGTTAGGCTCCTTGAGTCTGTAACAACTCATAGTGACCTTACGTACAACAGAAGGAAACACTGCAGGGTCCTGAGCCAACCTCACAATCATTGCTACACTTGAGCCTATCGCTGCTGCCACTGCGCCAATCCATCTCATTAGGGGTCTTTCTCTTTTTCCGCTGACCTTCCAGTTTATCAAGTATGGTATCCTTCTCCCGGGACTGCTCCCTCCTGATAATAAGTCCAAAGTATGAGAGACAAAGTTTGGCCATCCTGGCTTCGAACGAGCATTCTTGCTGTACTTCTTCCAACACAGATTTGTTTCTTCTTTAGGTGATCCACGGTTCTTTTAATATTCTCTCCTCTGACACCATAACCCGAATGCATCATTTCTTCTAAGGTCTTCTTTATTCGTTGTCCAGCTTTCACATGCATGTAGCCATGGTATTTTCAATTTTCATTCTCACTAGGATGGCTGAAATTTCTTTTAAAATTTTGTATCAGGAAAACCAGGAAGTAAATGTTGCTAATCGGAATTTATAGCTGTTGCTGGTGGTTCAGCAAAATGGTCTAGCCACTGTGGAAAACATTTTGACAGCTCCTCAAAAAATTAAACGTGGAACTATGTTGGTGTTGTGTGCTGTGGAGTTGGTCCCAACTCATAGCGACTCTTATAGGGTTTCCAAGAGGGGCTGAAAGATTTAAATGATCGACCTTGCCGTTAGCAGTCTAGTGTTTATCCTACAGTGCCACACCAGGACTCGGCATATCCACTCCTAGATAGTATATCCAAGACACCTGAAAGCAGGAACTAAACCAGGCACGTGTATAATAAAGTTCATCGCAGCACTATCCGCAATCGCCGAAAAGCCGAACCAACATGGATAAATAAAGCGTGATACTTAGGAAGGGGCTTCAAAAAGTTCGTGGAAAAAGTCCATTATTTTGTCCTTCTATTTTTCCACGAACTTTTTGAAGTCGAAAGTCGTAAAGAGAAATTAAGTCTTGAAAATCTTATGCTTAGTGAAATGAATTGATCACAAAAGGACAAATACTGTTTGACCTCACATGAAATAACAAGAATTGGCAAATGTACAGAGATCAAAGGGTACTTAGGAGTAGGAGGAAGGGGGAAAGAGGGAGCTTTTTTTTATGGAGATGGAAAATTTGGCAACAATTATGGATGATGGTTGCACAAAATTGTATACCTGAAACGTGTTGAATTAGTTAATATTGTGTATGTATAAAACTGCTGACTATATATATGAGCGCCGGGCATGGGTCTGGACTTGGCATTCAGAGCCCAGCGAGCCCGAGTTTCTGAACCTTACTCCGAGGAGGGGACAGACGCGTAAAGCGGGTCTTGTAGTGCGTTTGCTTTGGACGTCCAGAGTGTCTCACTATGGCAACGTCGGGGCATGCTGAGCCTACAGTGCCCAGGTCTCTCTACCTGGGACCCGCGCTAGGCGGCTTTCCAGCTCAAAGAGCGGAACCCGGCTGCACGAGGTGTCACAGACAAACGCTTGTTTAGTCCTCTGACCGGTTTGACGTCGTCTTGTGCCGGGGTTGGCCCGGCTAAACTCAAACAGAAAGGCAGGGGCCCGATCCTGCGAGGCCTGTTCAGTGAGGGGCTTACGTGGGTGCCCACCTGGTAAAGATGGAGCCGCAAGAACTCATCCCCAGAAAGTGGACAGCAACCTCCACTAGGGTACCGGGGAGGGTTTGGAGAAACGAAAGGTAGCTCCCCGGAGGTTGAGGGGCGAATCGAGCGTTAACCAATGACTGCCGTGGGGGCGGGGAGGAGACGGACCTAGGCACCTCCGTGAGCTGCGTCCCTTCCCCACCCTCGCCCGCCCTACCCTTCGTGACCCCGCCCGTCGGCCCGCCCTCTTAATCCCCTCTCTGCCCTGGGGCCCGCCCGAAGGTTACCGGTGCCGACCCAGCGTCACCCCGCAGTGTGCTGAAGGGTGCCTTAGCCGCGGTCGCGTGCAGGGTCCCGCGACGCTCTCTGAGGTGGGTGTAACACCAGGCGCACAGCGGAGCCCCGGAGCCGTCGTCTGCCGCGCGGCTTGGAAGCGCGTGAGATCTCTGACGCAGTTTGTTTTGGGTGGTGGTTTCTGTCTCTCCGGGGCTTTTCAAATCCTTTTAGTGACTTTCAACTTGAAGTCGCTGGTATTTGGGGTCAGGGAAGCCTAGGAGCAAGGGCGCCTTCGGAGGCTTGGGAGGAGAGAAGCAGATGCTTTCGTCGTGGCTGACCTCTCTTCTGACCCCGTGTTCTTTCATTTCTGAGTCACGACCCCGTGGGTTTCCTTATCGGGCTCATTGATCTTGCCCTCAAAGAGGGGCTTCATTCCTCAAGCATGGTTAACTTCTGCTGTGTGTGTCCATTAAAACTCCATCCTTTTCGCCGGCGGCGCGGGTACGAGAAGGCAGGCGACCGGCGAGATATCGCCTACCTGACCTGGAGTTTCACAGGGTCCTGGGGTCTGTGGAGGTACTTGGTCCGTATGGGGAACGGAGCGCAGGCTGCGACACTCCAGGGGAACCGAAGACAGTACGCTCCCGCCCATCCCGGACGGACTGACTATCAGCGTCCGCGGGATCAGACTGTCGGCAGGCAGGAAGGACTCCCCGGACTTGCCTGGGGTGTTCAGGGAGCGCGCGTCGGTCTGCGCGTTCTAACCGGGAACCCTTTGCGCTGCCTTCCTTTGTTGGGGTCCTGGAGCCACCGCCTACCCTGAAGTCCTGGGTCAGGCTCGTTCTGCGCTCTAGCCCAGTCTCAGGGTGTGGGAAGTGAGGGACGGTGACTCCGACCGACTGACCCTATCAGAAGAGTTTTCTGTTGGACCAAGGAGAGAGATCGGACTTTGGAACTGGTTTTGCGGGGAGCCAGCTTGGGAACCACATGTAGAGAGTGGGTGTTGGAAACCAGTCAAGGAGTGTTAGGAAAGGGGACACTAAGCAGGAACTTGGGGTCGAGTGGGATCCCAGCAGATTTTCGTGGTTTTATGTTTTTGGTTTTTTTTGTTGTTGTCTGGTGTAGTTTGATTTGTGATGGAGGGAGGTCTGCGAGATCAAATTGGGAAATTTATCCAATTATCTACGATCTGGGACTAGCTCAGGGAGAGGAACCCTCTCTGCCTTATCTGTAGAGATAGGGATAAGGCGGAACAGGAGCTGAGCGGGGGTACAGTGGCAGAGGCCCCCGCGACGCTCTCCTAACCATGCTTGGTTTTCCTCAGGTCTACCGCGCCTTGTGGACCGAGATGGCTCTGCGACCCTCAAGTGAGGCCGGGCCCCAGGACAGGGTGTGCTACCCGCCGCAGAGTTTCCAGAGTAGCTCCCAGCACCTGACCGCCTATTACACACCTTTCCTGAACTATGATCACTACGGAAACGCCCTTGCCACTGCCGAGGAAGGCTATCGATCTCTCCGGCAGCTGGAGTCCGCAGTGTCAGGGTCCCAGGCCATGCTCCCCTTTGCCTTCGGGACTGCAGCTCCTTTGCTCAGCCCCAGTCTGGCCCTACAGACGGAGGCACTCTATGAACTGCCCAGGTACAGCAAGTTGCCACCGTGGTACCCAATTCCCCATCATCCCAGGGAGATGCCACACTTCCTGAACAGCCAGTATACAGGAGCCAGCAGTGATGATTTCGGCCACATTGGTGGCCAGAGCAACAGTGACCAAGGATACGGACCTGAAACTTTAATCCTGAAGCCCTCTGTGGATGCTTCAGTGCCACCTGAAGGTCTGAAGACCTCCCAGTTTTCTTGCGCCCCCAGCAAGCGATCTGAGGATGGTCCAAAAGTCCTGAAGGTAGAAAGGAAGTCACCTCATCAATACCACTTCACGGAGGAGGACCTGCAGTTAGTTCTGTATGGGGCCATTCCTAGCTTGGAGCATCCAGTCCGCCTGCACCATGCTATGTCTGGCTTTCTGGTCCCCCCTGGCAGCTCTGATAAACCAAGTACAAATCACCCGGGAGTTGGGCTGGATGGGAATAGAGGTAGGTATACAGAAGCACGTCAAATTGGAGCTAACTCTGTATACATGGGTGTTGGGTGGAGTGTACTTGCTTCATTAGAGATGGAGTTTGGAGATTATAAACTTATTTCTGAGGCTTTATAGTTTAACTAGATGGCTCCTAAACTCAGGCTTTGGTCAGAGTTGAGAAAGTCAGGGCCACGAAAGAAATGCTTCATGCTGCAGATTTGCAATCTGGGATCAGAATCAACCTGGATGCAAGGTGTCTATGTAACATCCTCATGAAGTTTATACTTGAAGTCCCAACTCGGCCATCTTACTATGACCTTAATCAAAATCAGCACCAATCTCTGATTCTGAAATTTCTTAAATATACAAAATGGGGTTAATTACATAGGCTTGCAAGGGTTGTTCTGGGTCTCATAGAAGAAATTGTATATGAAAAGCTCATTTTAAAATAGCAGGAAAATGGAAAATGTATGCAATAAACATCAAAAACGGTGGCTACCTCCGGGAGGGAAATGCCTTTAAAAGCACTTCATAATAACATCATTATTAATGAAAAAAATCTTAACCCTACCCTTTTTCAGTATCCAGTTCTCTTCCTCAAAGTCTGGATAAAGACTCACTTCAACTGCCAGAAGGTAGGCAAGTCTCCAGTTGAATTTCTTTCCTGAGCAAATGCAGTCACTTTGTTCATTGTATTTTCTTTCCTGCCTTGTTTTTCCCTAGGTCTCTGTCTTTTGCGGACAGTGTTTGGTGGAGTCCCACATTTTGGTGTATTCTGTAGTAACCTCATTGCTAAAGGAGTTAGGTTTGGGCCCTTTGAAGGTAAAGTGATCCAGGCCAGTGAAGTTAAGACCTATGGAGACAATTCCCTGATGTGGGAGGTAAGTGTTTCCAGTAGAGCAGCTGAAATGGGGAGGGACGCTGGTGGCACAGAAAATCTTGGCTTTTGCCTCTGGAAAAGTTCCTGACCAGCACACCCAGCAGGAATTTGCTCTAAGCTCTAAAAGCTGTGTTTTGCAATATAATGGGGAGGAAAAGGTAGGCATCCCTACTTGAGGAGGGATAACATAACATCTTTGCATGAATTCTATGAGTTCTGTGGTGCTACCATGGTTATTTATTTAAAGAATTAATACACTATGTTGTATTTATAGATAAATCCAAATGGCTGAAGATATGCCAAAAGGGAGAAAACTGATTTTAAAATTTTGTATTTGCCTATACAGTTAGCCAAGGGGGTTTTTAAACTGATACTCTTAAAGCTTCTGAAGGTATGCATATAAGGGCATGCTGGTGAGTCTGAAATGTGTTACCTGACTAGGCAACAATTTATCAGGGATCTTAAGATGTTTAAAACCTTTTGACCTTGGATTTCTACTGTAAGGAATATAGTTTAGGAAAAGAATCTGAGATTCACACTATGCAAAAGATGCTAATCACAGGCTTATTCTCATAATAATGCAACAGAGACAGTGGAATTGTTAACGGTGGAGAAAGACTTAATTTATGGCCCCATCAATATACATGAAAACCAGGCTGGAATAAAATATATAATCAATTATTTGTGTTGGAATTAAATGTAATTTGCTCTTATTTCCCTTAAAAATTAATACTCAAAGTAACAATGTTAATACGCTTGCTATAGAAATTTGGAAATCAAGAAACTGGTAAAGTAAAAATCTTAAAAAAAATAGTCACATCATCTAGATGCCTAAGTTCATTTGTATACTACTTGTAATGCTGTAGGAATCTAATTTCTAGGAATTCATGTGTGAGATTTGGGTTATAAATTTTGAGTAGAATGATAGAAAAGAAAAATATGCATCTAAACTTCATGTCTAATTTCATTTAGATCTTTGAAGATGGTCATTTGAGTCACTTTGTAGATGGGAAAGGAGGTGCAGGGAACTGGATGTCCTACGTCAACTGTGCCCGCTTCCCCAAGGAACAGAACCTAGTTGCTGTGCAATGCAAAGGGCAGATCTTTTACGAAAGCTGCAAGGAGATCTGCCAGAACCAAGAGCTTCTGGTGTGGTATGGAGACTGCTATGAGAAGTTTTTGGACATTCCTGTCAGCCTGCAGGTCACAGACCAGGGCAAGCAACTATCTGGGCCCTCTGAAGGTGAGAGCCCTTTCTGTGGAAGTTCAGGACTTGTCCCTCAAACCCTCCCGCAGCTAGCTCTCCACAGGTGACCTCCTCCCTCCCAAAGGCTAAACCGGGAGACTAAATCTAGTGTCTCTAACTAAGGAGGCATTACCCAGCTGGAGGAAAGCACCTTCACCTTTTCTGCTACCTGTTTGCCCTTCTCGAGAATAAAATGAAATAAATACATGCAAACTCTGCCTTAAGTGAAGCCAGTTTGATTCATCTCTGCATGGGCTAACATAGCTGCTAAAGTCAAATAATTGCTGTTAAGTCCCGTCAAATCAGATCCAACTCATAGGGATCTTGTATAGGGTTTCCATGGATCGGGAGTGGCTGGTGGGTTTTAACCACCAAACTTGCTGTTAGAGGAGTCTAGTGCTTATCCTGCAGCGCCACAGAGCAGTGTTTCTTAAATGTTGTTATATCTTCATGGGGTGGGAAATCAATGTAGTAATTAAGACTACTAACTGGGGATCTTGTTATGATGCAGATTCAGAGGACTGGGTCAGGCAGAGATTGTGCATTTCTAAGAAACATCCTGATGGTACCCAAGCTGCTGGCTGGTCCCTCCCTGGACCATGGATAGCGAGGAGCTAGTGAACCCTCTCCGCAACCCACTCATTAATTTGCATTTTTAGTAACCTAACCGCTCTAAGTGAATTTTATATACATAAAAATTTGATGACTACTTATCTAGTAGGTGGGGCAAGACAAATGGAAATTACTGTAGATAGACTAGATTATCATGTAAGAACGAAAATGCAAATGCAAATTGGTGCTCTTCTTAGTTGTCCTGCTAGACCAAGACACTGATTCAGGGCAGGGAATGATCCTCCATAGCAGTATCCCTGCTCCTAGATCTCAATGTGCATTGAATGAAAGAGGAAGGCATCACAGCTGAATTGGGAAATACTGAAGGATGTAAGGCTGGGAGAGAGGGAAGCAATCCAGACTCTGGAAACAGTGAAACCAAAGACATGAAAAGATCTAGTGGATAACTGGATAACTTGTTATTGTGTGCCGTGGAGTCAGTTCCGACCCATAGCGACCCTGTACAGGGTTTCCGAGGCTGTAAATCTTTATGAGAGCAGAAAGCCTCATCTTTCTCCCACGGAACAGCTGGTAGTTTCGAACTGCTGACTTTGCAGTTCACAGCACGATTCGTAACCACTACGCTACCAGAGCTCCTTAGTGGATAACTGGAGTCTCTTTCCAAAGTCCAAGCTAGAAATAATGAGGGCCGATCATGACTGCTTTGTTGAACTGTCTCCTACAACAATGGAAGTGAGGATGAGGGTAAAATATGGGATGTAGTTTCTCTAGTGTCTGGAGCTCAAATTTGTCTCATGATTAGCACCAAACAGTCAGTCTTTTTGGTAACTTTTTGGGGGGCACGGGAGAGGGAGTCAAAAGAGAAAGGAAAATACCTGCTTAATAACTCAAAAAGGTAATCATTATCTTTTTGAAAACTTATTTAACCATATACATTTGCTGCGGATTAATGCGCTGGACTGCAAAGTCGTTTTTAATTGTAAGATCAGTGGTTCAAGTTCACCTGCCTCCTCGGAAACCCTATAAGGGTCGCTGTGGGTCGTAACTGACTTGCTAAACAACGACAACAAATCTTTACAGGAACTGACTGCTTCTTTCTCCAACAGAGCAGCTGGTGGGTTTCAACTGCCAACGTTGTAGTTAGTTAGCAGTCTAGTGCTTGTCCTACAGCGCCATTAGGGCTTCACTAATTCAATTGTTGTTGTTATATGCTACCGTCTCATAACGGACCCTGTATAGGGTTTCTGAAGGGAGGCTGGTGAGCTTGAACCTCCACCCTTGTGATTTAAACCGACTTTGCAGTCCTGCACACTACAGCTTCAGAAACCTTATATTGGAGTCGCAATGAGTCAGAGTCAGCTCCTTGAGTTAGTAAATGTTTGTTATCTCTGTAACGATGTATACTGTCAAGTAGATTCTGATTAATAGTATACCCTGTCAACAGTTTCTTAAGCATTAGGCACAGTAGTTAAGCATTAGGATATTAATGGAAAGATTAGCAGTTTGAGCTCACCAGCTACTATTAGCAAAAAAGATGAGGCAGTTCACTTGGAGTTGGCGTCATATAAAGGTTTAGTTTTATAAACCCTGTAGGGCAATTCTCTGTTCTATAGTATTGCAGTGGATCAGGATTAGCAGTGGGTTTGGTTTTTTGGTTAATTTTAGTAGGAGCCAGGCCAGGTTTGTTCTCCTCAAGAGCAGCTGGTGGGTTTGAACGCTGTAGTTGGAACCTTTTCAGTTAGTAGCCCTGTGCTTAACCATTGCTCCACTAGGGATCCTTGTCACAGTAATACTCTTCTGGAAATTTACCTTAAGGAAATAGTCCAGCAGGAGCAACTTTGTCCCTAGGGATTTCAATGACAGTATCATTCAGATTGAGTTCTGGCCTAGCACTGTAGGGGAAGCACTGTTGGTGGTCCAAATCCACCAGCTACACCTTGGAACCCTATACAGGGGCACTATGAGTCAGAACTGATGACACTTAACAACCATCCAGATTAGTGCTAAATCCCAACCTGAGTGTTCAGTGATAGAATCATTCAGTAACATGAAAGACTATGCAGATATCTGAGGTCACAATCATATAATAAACAAGTTTGAGGATTTATGATGCTTGTGTTGTTGGCTGACAACAAATGGATTTCTAAGCTTAATGTGGTGGAAAATCTAGCATATACAGTTACTAGAACTCTGATTCTGAACTAAATTGTTACCAGTGCTTGTTGTTAAGTGCCTTTGAGTCGGTTCTAGCTCATAGCGACTCTGTAGGGTTTCCAGGGAGCATCTGGTGGGTTTGAACTGCTGACCTTACAACACCACACTAGGCGTCTAACCACTGCTTACAGCCATGCTAAAACGAACATCATGTGTTTTGGACAATGTCTGAAAAGAAAGATGTAAATAACTTAGCCTTTTGAGGGGAGGATTTGTTTTCTGATAAGTTGTTTTAGATAGGATGAAAAAGGAAAGGAAAATAAAAATGTCTCTGATCACAAAAGAAATGTTTTCCACAAAGCCTTTTGGCTAGGAGTGGGGCCTGAGGACCTTTCCTTTTAAGGTCTGAATGTAAATTGGAAGGTCGGTGGTTCAGGCACACCAGGCTACTCCTTGGAAACCTTATGCAGGGTCACTATGAGAGGGAACTGGACAGCACTTAACTGTAACAACAGTACTTAATCAGCATGTGGCTGTTTTTCCATTGTGTGGATTCATGATGACCACATGTGCCGGGAACTGCTCCTTGGTTGTTAAGTAAGCGCCGTCCAGTGGGTTCGACTCATAGTGCCCCTGTATAAAGTTTCTGAGCAACGGCTGGCAAGCTTGAACCCCCGACCCTGTGGTTCAGACTGTCTTTTTGGTCCTATGCAGTATCCTGCAGCACCACACCAGGACTCCAGAACTGTTCCTTAAGGTTTTCAAAGCAGTGTGACTTTAGGTAGCAGATTGCTACATTTGTCTTCCAAGATACCTCTGAGTTCAAAACACCAACATTTTGGCTAGTGGTCAAGAGCTTAACTGTTTTACAATAGCAACCCTGTATAGAATTTAGAGGAGCAGCTGGTGGGTTTGAACCGCCAGCCTTGTAGCTCAAACTGACTTTTGGTCTAGCATTAGACTGCTGCGCCATTCATTATTGCATTCTTATTCTGAGTTTTTATGGGCTTTAGTGTTTTGATCTGTAAAGATTATTGTTAGGTGCCATTGAGTTGATACCAACTCATGTTGTTACATAGTACCATGGAGTTGGTTCCGACTCATAGTGACCCTGCACAGGGTTTTCGAGGCTGTAAATCTTTACGGAAGCAGAAAGCCTCATCTTTATCCTCAGAACAGCTGGTAGTTTCGAACTGCCTACCTTGAGGTTAGCAGCCCGATTTGTAACCACTACGCTACTAGAGTTCCTAGTGACCTTAGACTTTACGCACAGCAGAAGGAAACACTGCCCGATCCTCGGCCAACCACTACTGTTGCCACACTTGAGTCCATCGATGCTGCCACTTGGCCAATCCATCTCGTTGGGGGTCTTCCTCTTTTTCTCTGACCTTCCACCTTACCAAACATGATATCCTACCATATGTCCGAAGTATGAGAGACAAGTTTGGCCATCTTGGCTTCCAAGGAGCACTCTGTACACCCTCTCTTTCAACCCCAGGAAGCAGAAAAGCCAGGAATTTCCGACCAATGAAAATTGTAGCTTGGAGCAAACCCCTGTCCCAGTAGGGGGATTCTCAGAGTATTAGCACCTCAATGAAAGTGATAGACAAAACTGGGTAGTAGATGGTCCAGAGGTTGGTGGGCCGGGCTGCCTTCTGGTTATTTACTTAATGAATGGTTTTTTTCCTTAGCCACCTGTTAAAAAAAAAAAAAACGTGCCTGGGACGTTTGTTGTTTACTAACAAACCTCCTGATGGACAGCTTCCCTGCAGATCTGATGCATACTCTCCTGGCTCTTCTCTCCCTCCCAGGGGGCAGACAAAAAGGTCTCAATGATGCATTCATAGTCAAAGCCACTTTATCCTCTGGAATCCAGAGCATACTCAGCAGGAATGCTTTTGTAGGTGGCCCTGTTCTCTCCTCTCCCCTTCCCCCAACACAGTATACTCCTGAACCCAGCACCTCCTTTGCTAGAGTTGGTCTGCACCTTCTCTAACCTTTCTCCCCACCCCTCCTCCATTAATAACAGATTTACCTTTCTCGGTCATTTCTATCACTGAGTGATAGTACCCCTCACAATGATAAAATCTCAGTAAGTTTTAGAATGAAATGATCATGACCACCCAGTGTGGAGGGAAGGCATGCTATTTTCATCCTCACTTTATGAAGATTTTATCTCTGGAATGTCCCCCAAGTTTAGAAAAGTGAGTTAGAAATGAAAGTCTCCTTTTCTTCAGCCTGAGAGGGTGCCTAGAACTTTATAAATGGGGCCCAACGGGAGCGGCATGTAGGAAGCCTGAGACTGTTTAAAGGGAGAGTCAGTTGAGTAACCTTGTCACAAGTATCAGTCAAGAATGTTCAAGGATTGCAGGCTCGAGCTGCTTGTAAATTATGCTGGAGGAGGGGTTTATTTCTTCAACAAATATTGCAGGCAAGAAAAGCAGCCAGGTGCAATATGAAGACCTTGAATCTTAATTTGAATAATTAAAGAAATATGAGGGGGTTTCTAAAGGTCGTGGAAAAAATGAATTTAAAAGACAGTGGGATTTCCCCACAATATACTTGGATATGGACTCCTGGTGTGGCATTGTGTGTTAATGCGCTGGACTGCAAAGTCAGTTTAAACCGCAAGGTTGACAGTTCAAGCTCACCAGCTGCCCCTCGGAAACCCTATACAGGGTTGTTGTGGGTCACTTAACAACAACAATATTTACATTAAGGAATAAAGGTATTTTGAAATATCAATCTTTGTGCTTTTTTTTTTAAGACATTATCTTTTTTCTTTGTATTTTTAATTTTGCTTTTTTATGCATACAATTCTGTGATATTAATTCTATTACATGTTTAACCATTACCACTATCCTATACATTTACAAGTTATCTTTTAAAGATAACAGCCTGAGATAGTTATCAACCAAAGATTAGTATCAAGATAATCTATTGTGGAAGAAGTGGTATTGCTAGAAATAAACCAAAATTGTGAATTGAGAATTGTTAAGCCCAGTATTGGGTATGTGAGGCTGAATTTCTATTTTAGTATATGTTTAAATTTTTCTGTAATGAAAGGTTTTAAGTAAGACTGAGGGCTGGTAGCTAAAAAAGCCATTGTCATTTATCCCTCTGTGTTTGGCAGAGTCTACAGAAGGTTACAAATGTGAAAGATGTGGGAAGGTGTTTACCTACAGATATTACAGAGATAAGCACCTGAAGTACACTTCCTGTGTGGACAAGGGTGATAGGAAGTTTCCCTGTTCTCTCTGCAAACGGTCCTTTGAGAAGCGAGATCGGCTCCGCATCCACATCCTTCATGTACATGAGAAGCACCGGCCGCATAAGGTAAGGTTCAGGAAGAGGATGGTGAGTGGCCCTGAACTCATCCCCTTTTTCTGGGATGAGCCAGATCACTGAAGGGGGTGTGCTGTGGAAGATGCAGGCACAAACTTAACAGGTGGATTGACAGCTGCAAGGTGTTAGGATGAAGTGCAGTGTGGAGTGGGATACATATAAAAGGAAGGCGTGAACACATGGGCTATAAAAGGTTTCATAGAAAACCTGACTTGGAGCTGTGTCTTTTAAGGAAATTGAGCTTATCTGTCTTAGATTAGTGGCAGGGTTAGTTAGGGATAGGAAAATATTGGGACATTCTAGACAAGAAAAAAGGAGCTCTGGTAGCGCAGTGGTTACGAATCGGGGTGCGAACCGCAAGGTCAGCAGTTCAACACTACCAGCTGCTCCGTGGGAGAAAGATGAGGCTTTCTGCTCCCGTAAAGATTAACAGCCTCGGAAACCCTGTAGGGTCACTCACTATGAATTGGAACCGACTCCACAGCACATAACAACAACAGACATGAAAAAGCCTGGCATGTGGCTTTAGACAACTGCAGGTTGTACCCTCCCACATGCATCCATGTTGATGGCTGTAAGTGAGGAGGAAGCGTAGTCATGGTCCAAAGAATGCCAGACCTCTGGCGTGTCAAAGATTAAGGGAGAAGAGCAATATGGTGGTAGGAAGCCATGTTCATGCCGTTCCAGATACCTGGTCATTTTCAGGTTTGGTACCAAAAAAAGAGTCTTTGGGTGTGGATAGAGTTCGGTTTGACTCCTTGGTCAGTCATGACTACCTGTCTGGGCAACAGGCTCGAGCAATTCCTCCAAACCTCACTTTTACCCATTTGAAAACAGGGAGCAGTCATATTAAAACCACCCTTCTTTTCCCCCTCCTGTTCACAGCTAACTGCTATATTATGTACTCCTGCAAACTTTCAACTATTTTTACAATTATTATACATCATTTACACTATTTTAAGAGCATTTGAAAATATTAAGATGGTAAAATTATTTCTCGGACTTAGCAACAGTAAGAAAAAAAAAGTTACACTGGCAGTATTCAGATAATGAAGAGCATCAGGTAAATGATTTTATAAATGACTTACTAGGTGAAAAACAAGTTATGATCCCATTTAAACACTTGATTATGTATGCCATATATAAATGTTTATATATAGATGGAAAAATGGTTGGAAAGAAACCATTAAACTGCTACCTGTAATTCTGGGAGGGGAGTCCTGGTGTGTTGCTGTAGGACAAGTATTGGATATTAACCACAGGTTGGCAGTTCAAACCAGCTACTCCTCAGAAACCCTATGCAGGGTTTCTATGAGTTAACAACATAGTTCTGAGAGTGAGAAGGAAGTTGAGAGTGAGTTGTATGGTATACTTGCTGTTGTTAGGTACCGTCAGTCCATTCCAACTATGTACAAGAGTGTTAACAAAACACAGCTTGGTTCTGTGATGACATCACAATTGTTGCCATGGACCAACCCGTTGTTGCAGTCAGTATGTCAGTACGCCTCATTTGGGAGCGTCCTTTTTTCTTCACAGACCCTCTCTTAAACATGATTTCCTTCTCCAAGGGCTGCTTCTTCCTGATCACATGTCCAAAGTATGTAAGATGATTCTAACGAACTTTCTATTCTGACTCTTCTTCCTTCTCCAAGACAGATTTGATTGTTCTTCTAGTAGTCCACGATATAGTCAACATTCTTCACTGGCACGATAATTCCAATGAACCAATGCTTTCTTGGTCTTCCGTATTCACTGTCCACCTTTGCGTGCGTATGAGACTGTTGAAAATACCATGGCTTGGATCTGGCACACCTTAGTCCTCAAAGTGGCATCTTTGCTTTTGAACAATTCAGAGAGGTCTTTCACTTGATACACATCCTTAATATTTAGCGTTTTTTTATGTTTTTTATCAGTGCTGTCGAGTCTGTTCTGACTCATAGTGACCCTGTATAGGGTTTCCAAGGAGCAGCTGGTGAGTTTGAACCACCGACCTTACGGTTCAAACCTATCTCGTGGTCAAGTGATTATCCTGCAGTGCCACACCAGGACTCCATATTTTTAACTGATGTTGTTAAGTGTCGTTGAGTCAGTACAACTAGGAGAACGTGAATTATGCTTGATAAAGAAAAATTGACGTTGGGGAGGGAGGTGGCAGAAAATAAAACATTTGATATCCAATGACCAGGATTCCTGGTGTGGGGCTGTGGGTTTGAACAGGCGACCTTGTGTTAGCAGTCTAGTACTTATCCTACAATCAATGCCACACCAGGACTCCTCCTATGACCAATAGTACAGTTTTAAGGCTCTTGATATTAGATGTCAAACAGCCTCCCAGAGAATGGTGCCAATTTATGGGACCGACAGCTGGATTTGCAGTTTGTTAAGCAGTACCAGCGCTCATGCCAGTAACGAATATCGTCTTTTGATGTTGCTGTTTTGATAGATGATCTTGCTTCAGTTTGTATTTCCATCGTTAAAGATCTCTTTACTAGACATTTGTATTTATCCTGTGATTTGTCAGTTTATTTCCTTAGCCACTATGTTTGGTACATGCTTTTGTATAGTATTTTGTAAGCAGTATTTATAATCAATTTTAAGTTTTTTTTTTTTTAACATTTTAGTATTTCTGAAATTGAGGTATGTTTTATAGTTGGTGGCATGTCATAGTACAAATTGGTGACATTTTCTTTTTTCAATTGTTGTTAGGTGACATCAAGTCTTTATCGACTCGTAGCTACCCTTTGCACAAAGGGTCTTCATCTATAAAGTGATGGTGGATCTTAAAATTGGAATACAACATTTAGGGTCTTAGCTCTGTGTTCTATTTGTTGCAGGTCAAAGGATGTTATGAAACTGGAAGCCACAGGATTTATTTGTTGGCTGAAAATAGCACAGGAAAGGAGTATCAGAGTTAGATACAGAAGTTTCTAGTGAGTTTACTGGATGGGCCATCTTCTTAGATACTGAGGATAATGGTGGGACTTGGGTTGGGTGTTAGACAAGAAAATTTGTAGCTGCGTACTGCTGTCTTTGAAATGGGGGACTATAACAGAGGTCAGTTGTTGCTAAGTGCTGGTGAGTTGGTTCCGACCCATAGCGACCCGGATAAGGTTTCCGAGGAGCAGCTGGTGAGCTTGAACCACCAACCTTGTGTTTCAAAGAGACTTTGCAGTGCAACGCATTAACCCACAGCACCACACCAGGACTCCAACAGGTTAGTCGATGACAGGAATGATGAAGACAGGGTTGGAAGCTGGTTATGGTGAGATGATGACTTAAACTTCCAACAAGAAGTTGTTTGTATGGTAGAGTGTTGGTGTGAGGGTTTTATTTTAAACTGGCAATAAAAATGGTGAGCTGTGTCAGACTCGGTATTTCCAAGGGTTTTTCTTCTTTAGTTATTTTCTAAACAGGGTGGCTATGAGTCAGTTTTGACCCATAGCTACCCTGTGTAGGGTTTCTAAGGAGTGGCTGATGGCTTTGAACTTCCAATTTTGTGGTTAGCAGTCCAATGCTGATTCTAAAATGCCACACCAGGACTCCAGATCATAGTAATAATAACGAATACAGAATAAATGCTCTAGGGAAAGATCATGTTGTTGTTAAATGCTGTAAAGTCAGTGCCAACTCATAGCCACCCTGTGTAGCATTTCCAAGGAGTAGTTGGTGAGTTTGAATTGTCGACCTTGTGTTTCAAACTGACCCTGGGCATTATCCTTCAGCGCCACACCAGGACTCCAATAGTGAGCTATAATAATAATGAATACAGAAAAACACAAAATAAATATGCCAGGCAAAGATCATAATAATGATGAATATAGAAGTTCATACATACGTTCAGGAAGTCAGTCCTACAAGCTCCTGGAATACCTGACCAATGAACATTATAGCTTTGTTTTCTTAGAGAACATTGTTTTTTATATAGCAGCAGATGCTCAAAATCATACCATACATTGTTGTTGTTGTGAAGTGCCATCAAGTCGATTGTGACCCATAGCAACCCTGCATAGGGTTTCCAAGGAGCAGCTGGTGAGCTTGAACCACCAGCCTTGAAGTTCAAACGACTTTGCAGTCTGACGCATTAGCCCACAGTGCCACAGCTTCATATATATATATTTCAACTTTTACTTCCTTATAAGCTTTTGTTTGTAGTTTCCTATTGCTTTAGCACCTCATTAAGACATAGTTTTAATTTCTTAATTATGTAATCTGTATAATTTGTTGGATGCTTTCTTCATGGAGCTCATTCTGATTTGAATAAGTTGCTTTTTCTAGATCAGTAAACTCATATTTGAGCAGAGCATTTTTTTATGACCTTCCCAAAAACAGTTCTAATTCTTTTTCTACCCTACCCTAGAATGCTATTGTTTACTTGTTTTACTGTAGATCACTTCATATGAAGATAAACATATCTTCAAGTAATGTTTATAAATATACATAAGTGAAATTTTTTCTGGCTTCTTGTATAAGGATATTTTATTCACATAACTTTGATAGTTAGGCTGTGTATAAAATTTTGAATTGCAATGCTTTTGCCTTAGAACTTTCAAAGCATTGTTCCATTTTCTTTTATCATTTGTTGCCTGCCTGTCTGGTTCTTGTGTCTTTGTAAGTAACCAAGTTTCTTTGTAGAATTTGCTCTTTATCTTTAGAGTTTTGAAATCTTTTCAAAATTTGTCATGTTGGATATCTTTTTCTTTTTGTCATTTTAATCATCAATAAAATGTATAGTTCAGTGACATTAATTACATTCAACATGCTGTACAAACACCACCGTTTCCAAAAATTTTGCATCACCGCAAATAGACACTTAGTACTGCTTCAACAATAACTCCCATTTTTTCCTTGTTGTTGTTAAGTGACCTCGAGTTGGTTCTAATTCATAGTGACCCTGTACAGGGTTTCCAAGGAGCAACTGGTGGGTTTGAACTGCAGACTTTGTGGTTCGCTGTCCAGTGCTGATCCTAAAGCGCCACACCAGGAGTCCTCCCTGATAACCATTAATAAGCTTTGCTGTCTGCATGTGTCTATTTTAGATCACCTCATATAAGTTGAATCATACAATTACTCTTCAGTGTTTTTTCTCTCCACTTGTTTTCAAGTTCCATCCATGTCTTGGCATGTGTCAGAACTCCATTTCTCTTTATTATTAAATAATATTCCATTTGTACCTATATTTGCCAGTTCATCTGTTGATGGACAAATCCACCTCATAACTGTTGTGTATAATGTAGTGAACATTGGTGTGCAATTGTCTGTGAATCCCTGCTTTCAGTTATTGTGTGTCAGATATCAAGAAATAAAATTGCTGGGTCACTTGGTAATTCTGTCTTTGGAGAATTGTCCATTGAAGTCTTTTACGCATATTTCAAAACTTTCATAGGAAAAAGAATGGAATTTTTCAGCGAACTGTTTGAAGTCCCTTCATATTTTAGTTGTTTTGTCTTTTTATTGAGTGTACCAGTTCTTATTGATATTAAACTTTTACCAAATATATGGTTAGACTCCTTTGATCTGAAGAAACTAGTCTTAAACTCAAAGTCATATTCTTACTTACTCTATGGTCATTATCTGCCCTCCAGATTTTTGTTCTTCCTGGAACTCCTTTTGGCCAGATGTTCGAAAGAATCTGCCTCCCTATTCTTATCTTTTTGCTAAGATTCCTAGCTTTGAAACTCAACTCTGTTTCCCAACTCTATTTTCTAAATTATGTATTAGTTATTAGCAGCCAGCTGGGGCTATTGAGTTATACACTATTCTGTTAAATATTTAAGACAAACAAAACCCACTTTATTGTAACATGACTGAATTGGTTTTCCATTCTGTTAACACTCCATACATAGTTTGATTCGTGATTTTGAAGCCCCCACAATGTAACTGCATTCTTCTGACTTCTTCCTCATCTTTACCATTCCATTGGTCTGCCTTTCCCCTCGTACCTTCAGAGCTTTCTTGTTATTAAGTGCCATTGAGTCAGTTCCTACTCATAGCAACCCTGTATAGGGTTTCCAAGGAGGAGCTGCTGGTGGATTTGAACTGCTGACCTTGTGGTTCACAGTCCATTGCTGATCCTACAGTGCTGCACCAGGAGTCTGGGTAAATGCTTCCCATTTGATCTTGTCTGATTGATTGTTCTAAGGACTACACACCTTTCTAAGGTCTGGTGTTAAACTGCTCACCATATAGTCCTGTCTGTTTCTTGACTGGAGTCCTGGTGTGGTGCTGCAGGGTTTAAGTACTGGACCGCAAACCAAAAGTTCATTGGTTCAAACCCACCAGCTGCTCCTTGGAAGTACAGGGTTGCTATGAGTCAGAACTGACTCCACAGCACTTGACAATAACATATTGTTTTGGGTAAAAGCTGAACCATGGGGATGAGTTCATTTTCAGACTTAAAGGGTGACTAAAGGCCACAGTCTGGAGGCTGCTTCAATTTCGATCACACCAGTAAGTCTGGCCTTATTTTGAGTTTCATTCCATGTTTTTCTCCTACTCTATTTAGGACCTTCTATTATGATTGGTGAGTAATGGCAGCTGGGCACCATCTAATTCTGGTTTCAGCGTTAAGGAGGCTGAGGCTCACGTGGTCCATTCTTAGACTTTGTTTCTGTACATCTTTGATTTTCTTCATTCTTCTTTGCTTCAGACGGTGGGGAGAAACCTATAGTTGGACCTAAGGTGGCCGCTTGCTAATTTAAAATTTTAAAAAGTGGTAGCAACACGAAAGACTTCCTGTTTAGTGTTTGGCAGCCTCTCAGTGGTTTTGCCTCTCCTGCCATTCTCCTTCACCTGGTTCAGAAGCCCTGAGAAAGTTTTGACAGGATTCCCCAGTACCAAAATAAAGAGAAGCAATATGAAGTATTTGCATATTACGGCTATACTGCATGCTTCCAGAGGACCCTCAAAGTATTTTGCTTGTTTTGTAAATTTGATATTGTACTATCAGATTATCTACCACCCTATATTGGTTCACATATTTATTACCCCCATAGAGTATTGGCTCCTTTCTGTAGCAGAGTATAGAGCACCTAATCGCTATTCAACAAATACTCATTGAATTAATTAATTTTACATTTCTTGCAAGTTAATCACAAACCACTGAAAAAGAAGGAGCTGAGAGGTAGTTTTCTTAAGGAAAATTAGGAAACAGCCCAAGCTTAACTGACTCACTGTAGTCATATAAGTACTTATAGACAAATCAGGACTAATTCCACCCTCTTTATTTTATATGTGATTCCTGTTTAATTACCACTGTTCATGTGGAAGCAACTGAAACCCAAGGGTTGGGGGATCGATCAATATCACACCACCAAAAATAAATCATAGCACCAGGCCCAGGATCTGACTCAGAGAAGGGCGATCCTCTGCCTATAATACGTAAACACAACAGTTCTCCCATGTTTTCTGTTCTCAGAGAAACAAAAAACTGAAATGAGGAATTAACTTGCTCAGGGAAGATGTCATTTTAATTATTTGCCTTTTTCGCCTTAGTGTTCTACATGTGGGAAGTGTTTCTCTCAGTCCTCCAGCCTAAACAAACACATGAGGATCCACTCTGGAGACAGGCCGTACCAGTGTGTATATTGTACAAAGGTAAACAGAAATCTCTTCTAAGGAACTTTTCTCGGTACTTGTTTGGGTGTTCATGGATAAGAACTTGATGCCTGGCTTATAATGAGTTCCTGGTGAAGGTTAAAATCATTGTCTCTCCATTCCCCTTTCCCACCTCCAACTATATCCAAGTTTGCTAAAGATACCAGTTCAGATGCTTTACTAACAAATTGGTAGTTAGAACGTGTGTTAATGAAATGTCTCCAAATTTACCAGGGACTTGATAGTCGCAGACAATGCTGTATGCTGTGGAGTCTGCCTGTCAAAGTTCAAATCTTGCCTTGGACACTTAAATCTAACTGTGGTTAACCTTGAGCAGCAAGTAGCTTCTATGTTTAGTATCCTCATTGGTAAATGGGGGAAATAGTTTTTATGTAGAGAAACTAACAAATCCAAAGAGAAAGCTTGTCAATGGTATGAAAGTAATCAGCATAGAAAATGTTGATGGAGATGGGAGACCTAATTAGACCATAAGATGATAAGATTGGTTGTATCTGGGTATTTTACACAAGTACAGCTTGAGCACCGTATTAAAACAAGAAAGTGCCAATCCTGAAAGTTCTTGTTAGAGCAGGCTGATACTTCGAGGAGAGCCCAATTGCCATACTTCTTTCCTAATCTCCCAAATTAGAAATCACGAGTTTAGGCTGCTGTTTTATATCAATGTCAATGAACCAGAAAATCTCAGACATTTTCTTAACACACTCAATTCTCATTAGTATAGATTTGTATTTACGAAGGTGCCATCTTCCTAACATTTGTTTGTAACCCCCAAATCTGTACATGAACCATTTATGGATTTGCTTTAAAGACTAATAGAAAGAGGACCAAGCACATTTACTTTAGAAAACTTAGTTCTGTCTTTACTCCTTGGCAATGTACTCCTATGTAAATGTTTTTAAAGGTTAAATAATAGTCTTTTGCCAGTTTTACAACCCAGACAAGTTTCTTCAAGGACCTGGGAGCCATCTCTTTGGTAAGTAATCAATTAAGGAAGAGTGCTCGCTCCTATCTCCTAGTTGGCTAGGAGGAAGAGAACCTAATTTCAGCTGGCATTTTGCTCCAAGTTTTAAACCTACCTCCAATCACAAAGAGATAAGAATTTTTTTTCTTTTCCTTCTTTGCAAAGGCAATTAGTAAACACAGGTCGTTGTCCCAACTACCAAGTGAATTTAGGGTTAATGACATGGAGTCCCCACCACACATCTGTCAGTTTGTCATACTGTGGTGGCTTGTGAGTTGCTATGATTCTGGAAGCTATGCCACTGGTATTTTCAGTAACTTCATATGCATGCGAAAGCTGGACAGTGAACAAGGAAGACTGTAGAAGAATTGATACTTGAGTTATGGTGGTGGAGGAGAATATTCAAAGTGCCATGGGCTGTCAAAAGAAGTAGCAGATTTGTGTTGAAAAAAGCACAGCCAGAGTGCTCCTTGGAGGCCAGGATGGCCAAACTTGTTCTCTCATACTTCGACATATTGTCAGGAGGGACCAGTCACTGGAGAAGGATATCATGTTTAGTAGGGTGGAGGGTCAGAGGAAAAGAGGAAGACCCCAAACGAGATGGATTGGCCAAGTGGCAGCATCGATGGGCTCAAGAGTGACAACAGTAGTGAGGTTGGCCCAGGATCGGGCAGTGTTCCATTCTGCTGTGCATAGGTTCACTATGAGTTGGAACTAAAACTCAGTGGCACTTAACAACACATGGTACTGTAGGTAAATCACTGGACTTACAACCATAAGGTCAGTGGTTCAAATTCACCAGCCGCTCTTCGGAAACCCTATACAGAGTCACTATGAGTCAGAACCGACTTAAGGGCACTTAACAACAATATGTGATTGCACGTGGTACTGTCAAGTCTGTTGACTTGAGAACATGTATGAAGGGGTTGCATTAGCTTGTCTCTAGGTTTTTGCAATCTCTTTAGCAGGTTACTAGGGATGCACATTGCATTCTGGTCTAATGTTTATTCTGTATCAAAACTTTTATCTTTTTTACTTTTGTGAATTTTTCTGGGTTGTCAGGAAAGTCATTCTGAGATTATGATTTCCCAATAATGCACAGGAGTCCTGGTGTGGCACTGTAGGACAAGCGCAGGACCACAAAGGTGGTTTGAACCACAAGGTTGGCAATTCAAACTCACCAGTCACTCCTTAGAAATCCTATACTGAGTCGCTATGAGTTGGAACTGACTTGATGGTGCTTAACAGCAACAACAATGCACAGAGGCAAAACATTCGAGTCTCCTGACTTGCATGTTCTCAGGGGATGATGACAAAGCCTGATGGTACTTGGCCTTTTTTTATTTCCCAGATCTGTTTATTGTCATATTTTTTGCAGTTTTGTGCTTTTGTTGGTGATTTCACTATTTATAGTGTCCACCAAGTGTAGTGGTAAATAAAGTGTACTCTGTGGTGGTGGTGGTTATGTGTCATGGAATCAGTTCCAAATCGCAGCGACCCTTATAGGGTTTCCAAGGCTGTAAATCTTTACAGGAGCAGAAATCCTCATCTTTTTCCTACGGAACTGCTGAACGCGAGATTAGCAGCCCAATTTGTAACCACTACGCTACCACAGTCTAGTGTTCCTGAGTACAATCAGGCTGCAACGTGCCTTATAGAAAAAATATATGCATTAGATAAGCTTCATTCAGGCATGTGTTATATATAGTGCTTTGGCCGTGAATTCACTGTTTGTGAATCAATATATAAGAAAGTGTCTTTAAGCTGAAATGTACATAAAACAAGGTTATGTATTGATTAGTTGACAAATGTTGCAACCAGACACTTGCAAAAACCTAACCCTACACATATCTCCTTAAGCCAGGGTTAAGTATTGGCTTCTTCAGTGTTCATAGAGACATTATATGACTATAGTGGATAATGAGACTTGACTGTTTCTCTAATAATATTATCTGAAAGTGGCAAAGGTTAGAACATAAGTATGCATGTTAATGAGTTAAAGTTTATAAATAATAGAAAGAAGTGACTGAGAAAGGATATGTAAAATCAACAAAGTATTTGGGAATGTAAAATGATACAGCCGCTCTGGAAACCAGAGTGAGCGTTTCTTTAAAATTAAACATGCAACTATCATGCAATCCAGTTGTACTCCTGGCCGTGTATCTTGGAGAAAATTAAGATTTATATGTTCATACAACAACCAATATATGTGTTTACAGAAGCTATATTCACAGCACTTCAAAATTGGAAACAACTCAAGATGTTTTTCGTATGGTTTACATAGACGGGCATATCCATATACTGAAGTACTTACTCTACTTAGCAATAAAAAGGGAACAAGATTTTTTAAAATTGTTTTTACTTTTTGTGAATTGGGTGAAGGTTTACGGAACAGATCAATTTTCAATTCAGCAGTTCATACAATTTGTTCCGTATCACAGACTACAATTCCCACAATGCAATGTCACTTGTCCCACTTCCTCCTTGTCTTCCTCCCCGTGGAAGCTTCTGAATTTTGCCCTTGGGCAAGTGTTTCCCTTTTGATCTAAAGCGGTCAATTATTCTAAAGAGTTTGTACCTCCAGAGTGTTATTGTAAAACTCATTTTGAGTTATGGTGTTATATCTAAGAAGTTTTGAAGGCCTGGTATAGTGCTGTAGGATAAGCACTAGACTTCAAACTGCAAGGTCAGCAGTTCAAACTCACCAGCCATTCCATGGAAACCCTATACATCAGGAGTGGGGAATATGTAGTCCTGCGAAGGCAATTGTAGTTCCAGCCGTCACTTTAGAGGTAAGTTAATGAAATGTTTTGAGTTGATTTTTTTTTTTTTTTTTTTTTTTTTGTGATGAAACTAACAAGCGACCTCAAAAATGTCTACATGCTGAAGTCAGTAACATTGATTAACTTCTTTATGTTGGACAACCAATTTTGTTACCGTTTTCCAAATCATCCCACATAAACTCAATGCCCTCTAATCAAAAACTCCCCCTTTCCTCTCCCTCCCACCCCTGGTAACCACAAAGAATCTTTGGTTTATGTATTTTTTACTTCATGTAAATAAGATCATACAATACTGTCCTTTTGCAACTGACATTCTTTGCTCATCCTGTGTTCAAGTTTCATCCATGTTGTGGCATGCATCAGGACTCTGTTTTACTTAACAGCTGAGTAGTAGTCCATTATATGTACACGGAGTTTTAAAAAGTTCATGGAAAAATCACATTATCCTATAGTTCCATTTTCCCACAGATTTTTTGAAGCCCCCTCATATATACCACATTTACTTTATTCATTCTTCCGTTTGTGGACACTTGGGTTGATTCCACCATTTGGTATTGTTGAAACTAATGAAATGAACATTAGTAGTATACAGTTATGTGTTTGCATTCCAGCTTTCACTAACTCTGAGTATGTATGTAAGATTGGATGGTTGAGTCATCTGACAATTCTGTATTCATTTCTTTGAGCGACTCTCAAAACTGTTTTGCACAGTGGCTGAGCCATTTTACATTTCCACCAGTAATGAATGAGAGTTGACGTTTCTCCACACCTTAACCGTAGGCCGATTGCTTTGTTTTAATATGCTGGGGAAACTGGAGTTAAGGGCATGTTGTTGTGGGTAAGAGCTGTCGAGTTGGTTTCAACCCATAGCAACCCTATGTAGGGTTTGTGAGGAGTGGCTGGTGGGTTTAAAATGCCAACCTTGAAGTTCAAAATTACCTTGTGCTCCAGGGCTGATCCTACAGCGCCACACCAGAACTCTGGGCAGAGAGGATAGAGAATCTATTATTTATTAACAATTGTATATAAAGCTATAATTACCCCCCAGAAAAACATTTTAAAAAGAAAAAAATAATAAAGTAAGGTACTGATTTTATACCAAAGCTATTACCTTGGCTGATATTACTTTCTTCTGTAATTCAGTTATGAGTTCCAATAGCATAGTGGGTTAAGTATTGGTCTGTTAACCACAAGGCCAATGGTTTAAACCCACCAGCCACTCCACGGTAGAAAGATGAAATTTCTGCTTCAGTAATAATAAGTCTTGGTGTGGTGCTGTAGGTTTAATGCACCAGAATGCATAGCCGTTTGAACTGCAAGGTCGGCGGTTCAAGCTCACCAGCTGCTCCTCGGAAACCCTATACAGGGTCGCCGTGGATCAGAACCGACTCAATGGCACTTAACAACAACAATAATAATAGACCCTATGGGAAAGTTATGTTCTGTCCTACAGGGTTGTTAGGAGTCAGAATCGACTGGACAGCAGTGGGTTGGGTAATGTAGTTTGTCTTGAGGTGTAGTCCTAGGACCACTTACATCAGAAACTATGAACTTGTGTGTCTGTGTCTCATGCCAGAATTTCCCGAATCAGACTGAAGTAGAGTTGAGATTTTGCATTTTTAACTAGACCCTCATGTTTTCTTTGCACTGAAGAGCCATTGCTGTAATATTTTCTTGTTATCAGTTAATGCCAGTGTTTTGTGCCATCGTGACCCATGTGTGTAGATTAGAACTGCTCCATACAGTGTTTGTCAGGCTGTGATCTTTTGGAAACAGATTGCCAGACGTTTCTTCTGAGGCACCCTCGGGCTTTGTCTGAACTGCGAAGCTTTCAGTGCTTCAGTGTTTGTACTACCAATGATTCTGCTCTAATTTCTAATTGTTAAGTATTGTGGAGTCGGTTCTGACTCATACAGACACCCCGTATAGGGTTTCTGAATAGGGGCTGTGGATTTGAACCTCTGACCTTGTGGTTAGCAGTCAAGTCCTGATACTACAGTGCCACACCAGGACTCTCTCTAATATCTAATATCTTGTTAAGTGCCATCGAGTCAGTTCTAACTCATAACAGTCCTGTATAGGGTTTCTGAGGAGCAACTTGTGAGTTTGAACTGCCAATCTTGGGGTTCATACCAACTCTGTGGTCCAGCGCTTATTCCACAGCGCCACATTAGGACTGCTGTTGACCAAGAATGCACTATGGCCTTAAAATCCCAGGTTTGTGATTTGGAAAGCTAAGGGAAACATGAGTTATCAGTAATAGTGAAGTTAACCTTGTTTTACTGGTTTACCCCGCTCATGGAATTTTGTTTTGTCTTCTGCTTTCTATTCTCTGCCAGAAATTCACTGCCTCCAGCATCCTACGAACACATATTAGGCAGCACTCTGGGGAGAAGCCCTTCAAGTGCAAGTACTGCGGGAAATCGTTTGCATCCCATGCTGCCCATGACAGTCATGTGAGACGCTCACACAAGGATGACGATGGCAGCTCTGTAGCTATGGAAGAGCCTGAAATCAAGACGCTTCCTTCTCCTACATGAAGTTTCATGAGCTCTACTATCCCTTAGAGAGTTTGAGGGGGAATGTAAAAAAAAATTACAAGGCTGAAGATTCTGTTTCTTGGTATGGTTGTGTCATAACCAAATACTGAGATGAGAAACATGGCACTGGCCCAATAAGTCCCTTTCCTTTGTTTGCTTTGGGCCCCAAATTGTGCTATGTCTTTGGCCATCACTTATTAATGTTTCTTCTTAGGACAAACTCTTTTAAAATTCACTCAAACTAGAGCTTTTATAGTATATAAAGTTATATAATTATATAGTTAAAGTATTATAACAAAGTTATTCAAATGTAAACTAACCTCCCATCTTTTTTGGGGGTGGTTCCTTTTCAACCTTTGTTTCTCACTCTTCCCCACTGAGCACTCCATAACTGTTGATTAATAATTTCAGTTCAGTAGTGCCAGATAAAATTATTTTGAGGCCATGGAAGTTATTCACATCTCCTTTACGCTCCACGTGTGACCTTCACCAATTGGGAAGAACTATTTAACTTAACAAAGAAAGATTGAAGATTTGCAGAACGTTGAAAATATAAATAAAGATATTTATACTCTTGAGTTTTAAATTTGATTTCATTCCTGATGAAGAGGAGGAGGATTTTTGACAGTGGTTTTGTCTAATTAGCTGCTTCAAATCAAACCCAGTGCAGTTGTTGATTTCTGACTCTTATTGACCGCATGTTGTTGTTAAGGGCCGACTCTTAGTGACCATATGTAGGCTTTCCAAGGAGCAGCTGATGGACTTGAACTGCTGATCTTGTGGATTGAAGTCCAGTGCTGATCCTACAGCACCACACCCTATAGAACAGAGTAAAACTGACCCATGTTTTCCAAAAGCTGTAATCTTTACAGAAACAGACTGCAGCATCTTCCGTAGAGTCGCTGCTGGTGGTTTGATTCTTTGAGTTTGCAGCCAAGCACTTTAACCACTGTGTCACCAGAGCTCCTTCATGCTACTATGGAAAGTGTTAAAAAAACAAAACAGAAAATAGAGGTGCTGCCTGAAAAGAAAAATATCCTATGCAAGATATAAAGTGAATGCAAGCTTGTGGGAAATTACATTTTCCAACAATATACAGAGACAGAAGACTAGACTTGTGGGTCATGAAAACCAACACATGAGTATTGAGCATATACTGTTTCCTGTCACTGAACCTGGGGTGGTGCTGCAGATTAATGTACTGGACTGCAAAGTTGATTTGAACCACGAAGTCCTTGGTTCAATCTTACCAGCCACTCCTTAAAAATGCTATACAGGGTCACTTTGGAACCAACTCAACGTCACTTAACATCACTGAGCCAATGCCTTTATAGTCCTTTTTATAGTTTGAGTCTCACATTGACCCTGTAATTGTTAAGTGCCCTTAAATCAGTTCTGACTCAGAGCGACCCTGCATAGGATTTGCAGTGCATTAACCCACAGCCAATGTACCCCAAAGTCTGCTACTGGGTCTGCCTGACTTCCAGACCCAGTCTTTAAGACTGACTATGGTCAATCTTAGATCCTGCTCAGGAAATGGCCATTTTTTCCTATTAATTATCCCATTCTTCCCTATGTATTTTAGCAGTAGTCATCAGTGTTAGTGAAATTAATGTGCTTCATACTCAACTTGGCGACAAAGAGTATGTCATCTCCCAGGCTGTATATGTTAACTGTCTAGGGTTTGTGTTCATCCTTGATCCACAAATCTGGCTCTCAATGTGGAACACGGACACTAAGAACCAGATGCCCCCTGGACAGGAAGGCACCCAGCTGTGACAAGAGTCCTGTGAGAAATAGAAGCCAAGCAGGTGGAAAGGTAGTGCCAGATTCTCCTCTAGGGATTTCTTAGCTGCGTTGACTGGGTTTGAGTAATTTATCCTAATGGGAATGTGCCCTGTTGTTTTAGGACTGTTTGGTTCATGTTAATTAAGACAGAACCTTTTGAAAAGGTTGGGGCTCATGTAATTAGGCATCCTTTCTTTGACAGCTAGTTCAAAATACACTACTTTGGAACATTTTCTGTTTCTGGGTTTGAACACTTTATTTTTAAAATCAAGCAGTAAAAAGCAAGACCTCAGGAACCGATTTGATGTCATTTTATCACCAGCTGAATAATCCAAATGAACTACATGGTTCTTTGAGCCAGAAGTGTGGTGATGGAAGGTCTTTTTTTTTGTCCTTTTCTGATAGTCATTACAAAAAACATGCATACCAAATAATGCCTGAATACCACACTTATCTGGAAAACTTGGGGGACCATTCTCATTTAATTTATTCTGACTTGATTCCAAACATTTGGTCATATTGACCAGGTTGTCTCAATTTTTGGCTTATAACATCTTTCTTTAATAATTGATCTCATATTTATTTTTTTAATTCGAATGTATGCTTGTTTCTAAAACTATTTTGAACCAGTTTACATTTAATTAAAAACCAGTCTAAAACATTTTAAATAGAAAGCAACCTATTCCTTGCAAATTAAAGGTTAGTTAAGTATAATCACTCTGGCTGAACACTTGGAAGTAAAAAGGTGTACCAAACAGAAAAAAGATTTTGGAGTCAGACAAACTTTTTTATATATAATTTTCTTAGTGTATAATTTTGGGCAAGTCATTTAATTTTTAGAAGTTTAGTCCCAACCATAAAGTAGGTGATCATTACATCATAAGGTGATGTGAGGCTACTTGAAATTGATTTTAGTTTCTATAACTTATCAGTGAAGGCAAAAAGAAGGCAATGATGTAAGTTTTATGATTAACAGTATATGCTTTATTTCAGTACTCAAAAACGTGATTTCTAAACCAGCACGATCAGCATTACCTGGTAACTTGTTAGCAACGCAACATTTCAAACTTTTAGACCTTCCAAGTCTGTCCAGGCTACTAAGTGTCCTCAGTGTGATTCTGATACTAACATTTGAGAAACAGTACTTTAATTCAGCCTCTCAGTCCTTGTAACTTAACAATGGGTAAAGTGAATACTTGGCAAAATCAGTTCTTCATTAGGAGAAACCATTAGAATGCAGATCGAAGGCCGAGTAGTTGTGTTACTTAGGAATAATGGCTACCAATAGAATATTTTACTGTTAGAAATTGAGAATTCTGTAGCAGGTAGCTTTTTGAATGGAATTTAGAGACTTTAGTCGTAAGGTATTTTCTCTGCTCTTATTTTCCCTACCTAAGTCTACATCAGATGTTAAATTCCTACTCACTCATTAGAGTTTTGTGGGGTTTTTTTGTTTTTTGTTTTTTGTTTTTAACAAGAAAAAAAACAAACATCTGAACCTTGGAAAAATAAGTAGACTCAGAACAAACTGGCCTCCCAGATATTGATGAAGCTCTTAATGGGCCCTCAGGGTCTCTTTCAAGGACTCTGGGAGTTGCAATAAACAAAGCTATCAAAACAGACAGATGCTTGGGACCTCTTTGGGGCCTGCAGTAACTTCAATATTGTAACCATAAAGTCATAGTTAGGTTTGTGCCCAGGCAAAGTGTAAGGTAGTTGGGGGTTGGGAGGAATATCACTATATGATAATTAACCTTACAAATACTGTCTTTGTTGTTGAGTACCCTCAAGTTGGTTCCTACTCATAAAGACCCTTTGAGTATATGTCTGAGATTTGACCGATGGGTTTGAACTGCCAACCTTGAGGTTAGTCCAGTGCTTATCCTCCAGCACCATACCAGGACTCCTATACTATCTTAGACTATCTACCCAAGTTTCCAGAGAATTTATACAGTTCTTTCAGAAGAAGCATTTCCCTAAAAATTCATAGCACTTTTTTGTTGATTGGCAGGTGAAAATAGAAAAGTCAAAATTATTTTTAAATAAAAGATCTGTGAATAGTATGAAATAGAAATAAACTCCCTAATCTCTCCATAAAGTATGGAGATCTCATAGAAATCGATACTTTTCTACATTCTATATTATTTTACGAGGTTAAATATGTTAAAGTGCATGTTACTGCCAATTGTTGCTACAAAGAATTTATCACTTTATTGGCTTAAAATTAGCTGAACTACATTATTTTGAAGTGAAGTGGTTAACCCTGGATGGAGAATGAGGAGAAGACAGTTTCTTTTTATGTATGGTCTCAAAATATTCTCACTGTCCAATTTTGTTTTGCCCAATCTCTTTTTTCCCCATCTCGAATCATCTTACAATTATAAAATCTAGGATAAATTTTATTATAAATGTATTTTGAATTCGTTTTTAGCACAGTACTTTGTGTTGAAAGCCATTTACAATCAAGAAACGGATTAGAGAGTCATTCTTGAATTTTGCAAACTTTAAAAATGTGACATGTTCTTCCATTTGCGTCTGTGTGTTCTATTAATACCTGCATAGCTTGTTATCTTGATTACTTGGGAAATGTTAATAAAAATATTTGAGTCCTGTTGTGGCATGGTGAGACTGCAAAGTCTGTTTGAACTGCAATGTCAATGGTTCAAGTTCACCAGCTGCTCCTCAGAAACCCTATACAGTGTCGCAACTGACTCACACTTAACAAGGGGATTAGGATCTTATTCTTGAATTTTGCAAACTATTTAAAACTCTGAAATGTTCTTCCATTTGCTTTTATCTGTGTCCTACTCGGTACCTACATATTATATTGATTACTTGAAAAATGCTAATAAAAATATTAGGTAAGATCTTAGGGTCTAATATGTGACTTTTCCATTCTTCACCAGTTCATCAAATTCCATGCAGCAAGAGGCCTGTGAAGAGGTAAACCCAATCCGCAACAAAATTGCTCCCTCATTCACTTGAGTTTGTTTTCATGAACTTTCCCTTTTGGTATATATTTTTTAGGCAATTTGGCTTGAGACTTGTAGTGTCCCTAAGACTTTTGTCCCACAGAGAAGAGGTAGGAGACAGAAAGGAGCTGAGCGCTCTCACTCCAATCCAGGCCTCCAAGTCTCTCCCATAAATTACCATGGTTGCTGGGAGGCTCTGGACCTGAGACAGTTATCTGATTTTAACCTCTGATTGCTGCA